TCAGCCATCATCAGAGAAGCTTCCTCCTGCAGCCGATGAAAACAAATACAAAGATCCACAGTTAGACATTATACAGAGTGAGGGACCTTGGAACACTCCGCCCTAAAAGGGATGTCTCTATCACATCCCTTGCCTTTGGGCTCAGAGAAACCCGTGGAAGAGGAGGTGGAAAGAATGTAAGAGCCAGAGGGGAAGGAAGACATCAAGAAAACAAGGACCTCCAAATCACCATGATCAAAGCTCATACGAACTCACAGAGACTGAGGCAGCAAACACACGGCCTGCACAGGGCTGCACCGGGCTTCCCGTTTAGGGCTTTTGGGGATTCCTGAATGTACAAACAAGTTTCATGTACCTTCCCTTAGGCTCTTTTCCTTCTGTTTATTTTGTCCAAATACAATGTGTTAGTTTTGTTTTGTCTTATTTTAATTTTATTATTATCCCCTAGAAGCCTGTTTGTTTTCTAATGAGACACAGAACGGAAGTAGATCCAGATGGGAGGGGAGGTGGGGACTGGAAGCAGTAGAGGGAGGGGAAAGCATAACCAGGATACATTATGTGAGAAAAAAAAATCTATTTTCAATACAGCAAATAACTCAGAACAGCTTCAGGAAGTCCCTGAAACTGACCAGATTCACTAGGCTCCTCTAGATGTGTATGTATTGCAATCCCCAGGAAAAGTCCACCACACAATAATGTCCAAATGGGTATGTGCTTGTCTCTGAAAGCCATCAACTGTCATTTTCCCCACTGTGGTTCTCATTAACTCATCCCCGGAACTTGGAAACATGCTGATACACTGGCCCAGCTCCTCCCCAGTCCCCAACTGATTTCTGTGTCATCTCACACCTCGTTCTGTTCACTGCCACCAAAGAGCTTTTGACAGTTTCCAAAAACCAGTGCGAGCCTTAAGATACTTTATCTGAAACACAAGACTGACACATACCCAAGGAGACATTCTGAGAGGCTCAAGCATCCTGTTGCCCAGACGACCGTCAGAGGCTGTGTAGTGGCAAAGGCACTCAAGGGTTACTGTATGAGGACAGTATATGAAACCACACTTTCCACTGTGCCAAGCACCTAAGAAGACGTCAGTCACTAGTACTGCCACCATCACCAAGTCTTCCCTCTTGTGTGGACGAGGCAAATGCAGTCATCAGAATTTTAAAAATTAATTCTTATTTTTAGTAAAATGATATATGCATATTGTAAGAGTGTGAGACACCAGACACTACACTTTCCTTTCCAGTCTTGGGGACTTTGTCTGCAAGGCTTGCAGCCAGCGTTGCTTTCTGGTCATTCCTTGTGATTTGCTCAGTGGTTCACAACTGAAAACAACGACTCACTCTCTCCCAGAATCTATCGGTAGCCAACATTTTCGAGTGGGGGGGGTAGATGCCTAGTATTCCATTATATCCATACGCCAGGAGTTTCCTTCCAGTCAACTGTTGATGACCATTTGGTGTTTCCAATTAGTGCTATTTCAAATAAAGCAGCTGCGGACATTACATTACATACACTCCCATTTGAGATTTTTCTTATGTTTTTATTTGGCGAGTGTGAGTTGAGTGTGTGTGTGTGTGTGTGTGTGTGTGTGTGTGTGCCCATGTACTGTGGCACGGTGTGTGGAGATCTGAGGACAACTTTCAGGAGTTGATCATCTCCTACCATATGGGTCCCAGGGACTGAACTCAGGTCATTAGGCTTGGCAGCAAGTGCCTACATGCTGGGCCATCTTGCTGGCCGTATGCTTCCATTTTTCTGTGGAACGTTTGGATTAAACAACAGACATATGTTTAACTGCCTTAAAAAAAAACAAAAAAAAACAAAAACATATTCATGTACCCCAGGCTGGCCTCAAACTGATTGTACCTGAGGATGGCCTTGAACTTTTGATCCTCCAGCTTTTACTGTCTGAGTAGTTGGGCGACAGCCATGCAGCTCACACCCGGCTCATGTGGTGCTGGAGACTGGACCTGGCGCAAACACTGCTGAATGAGCTGCATCCCATCCCTTAGCGTTTCAAGCCAGTTTGTTGTTGGCTGGTCTGGAACTCTTACCCCTCCAGCCTCTGCCTGCCCATTGCCCCAAGCCTAAAGCCTCTGTGCTCTAATATTTCCCCAAATAGTTTCTGTTCCTTAGGTGGCTGGGAGAGGGAGGCCTGCTCACACAGCCTTCTCTCCTGTCCCTGATGCTAACCTTTGCCTGCTCTGTCTTCCTGCTTCCTGAGGTCTGAGCTTTCCAGGCAGGAGCTCTCTGAGCTCTGTGGGGGCACCGTGTTGAGTTCCCAGGGCACTTCTTGCATTCAGGTTCTTCCTCCCATTAATGGCAATTTCTGCTCCTCTGCCCGCTCTCAATGTGCTGTGAGCTCTCTGTTGGCATGTGCTCAGCTTCTAACTCCTCTGCCATTTCAAGTGGCCTTCGGGAGGAAGGACAGCTTCACACCTTCCTTTGATTCATCAACCTAACGTTGACTGTTTCCTACATCAGACACTTTTGCAAGTGCTGGGACAACAGTGAACAAAACAGAGCCCATTTTCAAGGGAGAAGGTAACGTGGGGAGTTAGAGGGAGGGGCCAGCAAAGAAGAAACCTGTAAATTATACCGTGTTGGAAGGGACCCGCTGGAACACAGGTAGCAGGGATAGAGAAAAAGAAGGCATGGAAGGGTTTGCTTGATTGCTTTTTTAGAGATCTGGTCTCATTGTAGCCAAGGATGACCTTGGACTTCTGATCCTCCTGCCTTTACCTTTAAGGTGCCATGATTACAGACATGCATGAAAAAAGCCTAGTTTATGCAACACTAGGGATTGAACCCAGGACTTCATGTATCCTAGGCAAGCAGTCTACCCACTCACCTGCATCCTCAGTCCTGTCTTTGCCGTCTTAAACATGATTTATGGGGACTTGGATGAGAAGACAAGAGAGGGACAGGACCTGTGGAAACGGCCCTGAGCGAAAATGGGCTCTGTTTTGTTCAATGTTGTCCCAATGTTATACCAGCGAAGTCAGGGGGGCACAGGCAGGGCGCAGGTGAAGGCATCTGGAGTCCTGAGGAGGGTTAACTCACCACCGGGAGCTCACAGGTCTCTGTGTGACCCAGGACTTCCTCTCAGGGTGACATAAAACTGTCAGACAGAGGGTTGGCATGAAGACTTCCCTGGGTGGAGCAGTCCTCCTGCAGACAAGGTTTACGACAGATTACAGCGAAGAGGAAGCAGGCTGGGAAGAAGTGCTTCATTTGTGCAGAAGTGGTGGCTTTGGTGGAATGGAAGAGCAAGAAGTGTCAAATTCTGGATTTTAAAAGACTCCTCGGCACAAGATGGGAACAATGGCTGGCAGATACTTGTCCGAGTGACTCATGAAGTACTATTACCTTTAACTGGTAGAGAGCAGGAGTGGGAAGAGAGAATTTGTTCTAGAAACATCACATTTGGAATGTCTTACCAGACTGCCCAAGGAGGAGTTGAGGGTGTGTCAGGGGTGTGGGGGGCTGAAGATACAAGTGTGAGCACCCTGGATCTGGAAGGCACACTTGATATGAACTCTGTGTAACCATGGCATGTCAGTGTAGACTCCACCACAGATCACAGATGTCTCTATGGTGTGGGAGGTCTGTTGTAAGGGGGAGGCTGCCAGGTCTGGGAGGACAGGAAAGCTCTGTTTAATTTTGCTGTAAACCTAAACATGCTCCACAAAATGAAATTGATTTTTGCTTCCCTTTCCTTCTTTCCTTCCTCCCTTCCTTCTTTCTTTTTTAAAAAGAAAATGCTATTAAGAGCCATAAAACTTGATGGAATAGCAAAGAGAATAAGTGGGCAGGAGTCAGCTCGAGGGCCAGGCCTGTGGTTCACTGTCACCAGAGGAGGGATAGGTGACTGTGGGACGGTGAGTGAGTAGAGGAGCAATGGTGGTTAGGGGAAGGGACCAGTGGTGGAAAGCAGGGGCCCTCCACAGACTGTGGAGTGAGACAGTCAGAGTTGACTGTCAATCTCCCTGTGGTCGAGATAGTACCGAGTGAGGCCAGGAGATTAGGAGAAGAGGGACCAGGCACAGTGAGAGAGGTTCAGTTCATTTGAGGCCTTTTGTTGAAAACTGCTGTGATGAGGTTGGGCAATAGAACAAATGGAGAAGTGAGGATTTTTTTTAAAAAATGTTTTGAAGACTTGTTTCCCTACGCAACGCAGGCTGGCCTCGAACTCATGATCCTCTTGCCTCTGTATCCTCATTGCTAGGATTACAGATACATAGCACTATCACACTGGGGAGAGAAGTTTATTACTTGTTTAATAAAAAATATCTAATTGGGGGACTAGAGAGTTGGTTCAGTGGTTAAGAGTGTATATCACCCTTGTAAAGGATCCAAGTTCAGTTTCCAGAACCCACATTGAGTTGTTCACAACTGCCTATAACTCCCGCTCTAGGGGATTCTTCTGGCTCCCTTGGCACCTGCATTCACGCACACATGCGCGCGCGCACACGCGTGCGCGCGCACACACACACACACACACACACACACAGCTGAAATTTGTGCCCTGTGATCCCTAGTTTCTGTCTTCCCCACAGCTCCGATTCCTGGCAACCACCATTCCCCCTGGTGGCTCTACAAATGCAGCTGCCTTGGATCCCTCCTGTTGAGTGGACGGACTTACAGCATTTATCTTTCTGCATCTGGCCTATGTCACTTAGTACAATGTCCTTCAAGTTTACCCAGTGTGTCAGGAACAGCAGTATTTCCTTCTTTCCTTCTCGGGACTGTTGATTTTGAGATAGGAGAAATGCAAGCCTGGCTACAAGCTGATAGAATTAATCAGCCTTATTTTTATTTTATTTTATTTTTCTTGAGACAGTATCTCACTGTAGCCTAGCCTAACCTAGAACTCACACTGTAGTCCAGGTTGGCCTCAAACTCTTGGCAACCCTGCTACTATAGCCTCTCTACTGCTGGGATTATAGACGCAAACTCCCACCACGCCCCGCTAATCTGCCGATTTAGCCGAGATGCTATCCAGAACCTTCAGCTTCTTCGCCACGGATGCAGTGCAGCCCAAGGAGGATGCTCATGGTAGCCTAAGGAAGGTGCTCCCAACATGCTCATTAGTTGAAAATAGCCAAACCAGGTTCAGCCTTCAGCTTCCTGATTTGTAGCCCAAGATGCTGGCCTCCAAGGATGTCTGAGCTGTGGCATGCCAGGAACGAGTGGGGTGACGTTCAAGAGAGATCAAAGCTGGGAACAGCAGACGCTATCTGCCTGATCCTCCCATGGGAAACTGAATTTTAAGAAGAAAAAAAAAAAAACCAATGCTGTAAAAATGACAACCCAGAAGAGGAGGATGGGGGCATGAGCAAAGTATCGTGATATATATGTGCAAAAATGTCATAAGGGAACCGCTAAATTATACAATTTCTATATAATACATTATACTCACTAATAAGCAAACTTTTATAAAAACAAAGCCTTACATATTTGTATCATTAAATCCAAATGGAGTTTTGAGCTAGGTCCTGATTTCTGATTTCTGGCTCTCTGGTTTAAAAGTGTGTATCAGCACTAGGGAGGCAGAGGCAGATGGATCCCTGTTCAAGGCCAGTCTGGTCTACAGTGAGTCCAGGATAGCCAGGGCTATACAGAGAAACCCTGTCTCAACAAAACCAAACCAATAAAAAAGGCGTATGAACTGCAGCCATTTTGCAAAACATGAATATACATAGTATCATAATATAATACATATTATTATAATTATAATATAATAATGAAAATATAAGTCACCCAAAAGCCTATTATCCAAGATAAATTCTAGTAACATTTAGTGTGGTAAACTGCCAGCTTTGTATACATAAATATTGAACTCATTCATTCAAAAAGCTGAGGGCTGACTCTACCAACTAAGCTATTCCCAGCCAGGCTTATCAAACTTTAATTTAATTAAATTTATTAATCAAAATACATAGATTAATTTAAACATTCAAATTAATAATTAACTTAAACATTTAAATTAATAACAAAATTATTAATTTAATTGAATTCATTCATTTATTGTTTATGGTCATTTATGTGCCATGGCATGCATGTGGAGAGCTAGATCCCCAGCAGGGCTTATCAAAGTTTTATTCTGTATATCCGTTTGTATTTATTTATTGTGTATGTGTATGGTTATGCATGTGGAGGTCAGAGGACAACATACGGGTCAGTTCTCACCTCCCACTCTGTGGGTCTGGGGATCCTATTCTTCTGTGTAGGTTTTGTTAAAAGTCTGCTCACACACCACCACATGAGCTTCATTTGGTCTTTTTTTGTGGTTGTTTTTTGTTTGTTTATTTGTTTGTTTGTTTTGGCAGGGTCTCACATTGTCTAGGCTGGCCTCAAACTTGCCATGTGGTCAACAGTAACCCTGAATTTCACCCCCGCTTCCACCCCCTGAATGCTAAGATTAAAGTCAGCAACTACCACACCCAGTTTTTGTGTTGCTGGGTTAGAATCCAGGCTTCCTGCTTGCTAGGCAAGTGCTCTACCAACTTAGTCACATTTCCTGCCAGCACGTGGTCTTTTACAACTGTTAAATAGTCTATCATAGGAATGTGTTAGAGCTTGGTCATCTTCTGAGTGGGCATTTTTAGCCTCCATAAATAACCCTGAAAAGAACCCTTCAATGATACATGTAATAATTGCACTGATTGTCCTTTTTGTATTTTTTTTGGCAGAAATGACTGGTTGTCAAATTATTCACTGGCTCAATGGATGTAAACACTTCAAAGACTTCTACACATAATGCCAAATAGCATCTTACCATGTCTGCCTCCCCGGCCAACTGAGTATTTGTAAGGACTTGCTCCCCCTTACATCTTGTAAGAATTACTATTAGTAATTATACCTTGTACACATCCCACTGTTACTACCATGTCAACTTCCTATAATTAAAAAAAAAAATCAGGGCTGAGGTCTAGTTCAGTGGTAGAGTGCTTACCTAGCATGTGTAAGGCTCCAGGTTTCAGCCCCAGCACCACAAATAAGCAAGGCAAACACTCCCCAAAACATTTCAGCTGTGTGTAGGTTGAAGTTTACTATTTATGGGAACGATTTGAGGTGGGAGTAATTTGGATTCCAGTGATTTCTTTGTGCGCCTACATGTGCTAGGCACCATGCCAGGTGCTTTTTTTTCTGTTTATTACTGCTGCAACCACACCTCCAGAATGTAGGTGTTATCCTGTCCCATGAGGCTGTGACATGCTGAGGACAGAGGGCTGGTCAGTTGGCATGGTCAAGATGGGTATCCGGCCATTTGACTTGGAGCCCAGCATTGATCTATCTGCAGATTTAGCCCTATCTCAAAGAGCTGAAGATTGATCTGATATATATACACATATATTTATGCAATATGTGTTATATATTACATGATATATGTATATGATATGCACACATATATGTATGTACACTGTATATAACATGTGATTGTATGTATTATTGTGTGTGTGTGTGTGTGTGTGTGTGTGTGTGTGTGTGTGATGAGATGGAGACTAACATTCACAGCTTACCAGGTTTTTTTTCGAGACAGGGTTTCATGCAGTGTAGGCTGGCTTTAAATTCACTATGTAGTCAAGGATGATCTTAAATTTTGGATCCTCTTCCTCCTGAGTGCTGGTGCTACAAGTGCTGGAGATCAAACCCACAACTTGGTGCTTGCCTAGCAACTGAACTTCATCACCAACCAAGCCTACCAAGCTTCATTACATTTATTTATTTATTTAGCTATTTTTTTTTACTTTACCTTATGTGTATGAATGTTTTCTTTGCACATGTGTATGTATACCACATGCATGCCAGTTGGATCCTATGGAACTGGTATTGCGGGTGGTTGTGAGTTATCATGTGAGTCCTGTGGATTGAATCCAGGTCCTCTGCAAGAGCAACAAGTGCTCTAATCACTGAGCCATCCCTCCGGTCCCCACATTGATCTATTTTAGTCTGTGTAAATGTATAAGAGTGTCCATATTGGGCTAGGTGTGGCGACGCACGCCTTCAATCCCAGCACTCAGGAGGCAGAGGCAGGAGGATCTCTGTGAGTTCAAGGCCAGCCTGGTCTCCAGAGTGAGTTCCAGGGCAGCCAGGCTTCAACAAAACAAAACAACAACAAAATGAGTGTACAGGCCATGGTGTGAATGTTGCCATGAGAGGACAACTTGCAGGAGTCGGTCCTCTGTTTCCACCTTGTGGGTACCTGCTGAGCCATCTCACCCATCTTCACTGAAGTTTAAAATTCCTGGGTAGAATAAGCCACACTGACCTATATATAACATCTCTGAAATCCTGATCTACCTGAAGAACTCTGGGCAGCTGCTTCTGGTCTGAGGTGGTAGTTGCTCCTTTATCTAAAGGCAAAGCCAGCAAGGGGGAGGAATGGGGCCTAACCTATTTGCCTTCTTGGTTAATCAGCTGCCATCATTTCTTTTGAAGGCCTGATTGAGAGAAGCAGCTGAGGGGCAAGACTTGGAGGAGTCACCCCTCTTGGAGGGAGAGTGACTTCAGTTAGGATGCAGACTGTGCCCAGAGCCCACCTGTGTGAGCACAGTGAGCCAGCTCTCACAGCTTGAGGCGTTTTACTTTTTTTTTTTTTTTCACTTGTTTTATTCTGTTTTTGAGACATGGTGTCACTATGTAGCCTTGGCTGTCCTGGAATCTCCATGTAGATCAGACTGGCCTCAAACTCCCATAGATCCACCAGCCTCTGCCTTTGCCTCAAGTGCTGGCATCAAAGGTGTGCACCACCATAGGCCTTTTACTTTTATTCTTGGTCTTCTGTGTACTACAGGTGAACATTGGATCTTGGATCTATGTACATGAGTATCTTGTCTGCATGTATGTATGTGTACCATTTTTGTACCTGGTGCTCAAAGAAGCCAGAGGAGGACATCAGATCCCCTGCAACGGAGTTCCTGATGGATGTGAACTGTCATGTGGGTGCTGGCAGTCAAACCCTGGTCCTTAACCCCTGAGCCATCTCCCCAGCCCCAGCTAGAAATTTCATGAGTCTCACAAAAACAAAAACAAAAATAACAGAAAACTAAATGATTACTAACTCGTAAGCTGTCTTTTGGCAAGCTCACAGGAAAGAGAGACAGGTTTCTGAGCTGTTAGCTTTTCCCATTATCCCCCATTGTCTAGGAAGCTTGGAGCTCTGCAGGGACCTCGGAGCATATCCTAGGCCACCCCAGGCTGGCTGAGGGCATGGTGGGGTGGACCTGGCTGCTAGTGTTGGGGTTGGCTGGCTGTGTCTAACTTCTACTCCATTGTGTTAGTCTCCTTGTTTCCTGTGTTAGCTTAGGCAAATTCGTGATTAGCCTCTGGGGAAGCTTTCAACCGAGGCAGGTCGGGAAAATTCTGCTACTCTTCTCAGAAGGCAGTGATTTTACTGGGACAGCTAAACTCTGCATCCATCCATCTGTTTGTCTATCAATCATATCTATCTATCTATCTATCTATCTATCTATCTATCTATCTATCTATCTATCTATCTATCTATCATCTATTGAGAGACTCTCTATGTAGCCCTGGCTGTCTTGGAACTTGCTGTGTAGACCAGCTATCCTCTAATTCAAAGAGTTTCTCCTGCTTTGCCTCCGGAGTCCTGGGACTGCTGGGACCAAAGGAATGCACCGCCATGCCTGTCGCTTTAGGTTCAACCCTATGACCCAAGAGCCATTTCAATGGCTGGGCAACCTGTCCCGAGAGCGGGCGGCAGCCTCCGGAAACATTCAGAAAGCCCGGCTTGGAAGCCAGGCTCTCCGATGGCGCTTACCTGCAAGCCGCAGCTGAAGACCTCTGCAGCCTCTAAGGGACGAGCATCCTCTTTGGGTAGCAAAAAGGGCCATGTTTGGAAATGACGGAGCAGGAAAGGGTAGGGAGAGACGGAGAATAACCACAGAGGACCAGAGCTGAGGTGGCGTTGGGACTGCAGGGTGGACAAAAAAGGAGGAAAATAGAGCAAAATGGGAAGCTCAGAATAGAAGATATAAAGGAAAGTGCCAACTAGTGAAAATCCTGCGAAAGAACGCGGGGGGGGGCTGGGGAATGGTTTAGCAAAATAGCAATTAGCACAGCTAAAAATAAAGACCAATTTCGAGACAAAGCCAGATCCAAAGGAGAAAAATAAAACTCGTCAGAAAGACAATTCCTTGCAAACCAAATGCTCAAGAAAACGGGGCTAATGACACCCCCCTCTTGGGCAGTTTTGTAGAAGAAATGAAAAACTAGATGAGTGTGGAGCGCGGCGCTGAGCAGGTGACAGGCACCAGGAAAGGAGCTATGAGCCGGGCGCTGGAACCATCGGGATTCCCGTAGTTGAGCGTAAAGGTCCTCCTGAGACTGCACCCAAGTGTGGTCCAAGTCAAAAATGTGCCGGCGCGCTCCGATCCGCGCTAGAACGGCAGAGGCTCGGGCAGCTTTCTCCGAGGTCTGTCTGTTCCAGAGCCTCGAAGCCGGGGCACAAGGCGTGGCGTGAACCGGAGTGGGTGCCCACAGCTTGGTCCCGGCTCTGGTGACACCTCCCGGGCACCCGTGGCGTGAGCAGGCCGTGCACCCACAGAATCGGAGTCGGGTAGACCCGGGGGCGATCTGGGAGGTGACTCGGCCTGGCAGGGACTTGGAACGCTGTGCGGCTCCCAGGCCGCGAGGGGAGGGACCGGGATGTGCGCGGGAGCTGAGGGTCACCCGAGGCCACCGCGCCCTGCCCTGCGCGGGTAGCTGGGGGCTGGACTTAGTGCCCACGGGCGCGGGTGGGCAGGCAGAGGGGAGCGCGGCGGAGAGGAGGCGGCGGGCGGGGCCTGGAGGGGCGGGGTGGCGGGGGCTCCTCCCCCTCCTTTCCCC